CGAGGCGCCCGCGCCGCTCCTCAACGGCTCGGCGATGCGCGGACGAGGCCGGAGGGGGCGCGACGCGGCGGGCGCTCCCGAGGCGGCGACTCCCCAGTGGCGAGGCGGCCCCGAAGCGGCGCTTCGCGTAACCGCCGGGAGCGGCCCGCGCCGCGCGGCTCGGCCCGGCCGCGGCGCCTCGTGGTGCGCCGGGTGTTAATTTTCGCAGTCGGGGCGGGAAGCGCGGGGGGAGGCGGCGCGCGGAGCAGGGGCGCGGCGCGGCGAACGCGGGGCTCGGCCGAGGGCGGCGGGCGGCCGCAGGGCGGTAGTTACCGTGCGGCGAGGCGCGGGCCCCCCGCTCCCTTTCTCTTCACGCGGACCGTGTGTCCGCCAGCTGGGAACAACGTGCGTGCGCACCGCGCTGACGTCATCGCGCCGCAACGCGCGCACGCGCACCGCCCGCTCACGCCCCCCTCCCTCCCTCCCGCCTGCCCGTCACGTGCCCGCGCCAGGCCCAGCCCCGCACCGCGCGGCGCCCCGCCACGAAGCTTCTGGAACGGGCGCGGGGTCGACGTCGCCTCGCGCACGTCTCGGCGGTGCCCGCGCTCCCTGGCGCCTTCGAAGTCCCTTTCTGTGCCGCGGCTGCAGCCCCGCCCCCCGCCGCCTCCGCCCCGGGGCGCGGACGAAGCGCCCGCCCGCTCCGCTCCCCCCAGCGGGCCGCCCGGCCCCGCCTCCGGTCACGGGACCGGCCCGGGGCCCAGCGGCGGCGGGGACGCGGCCCGCGTTGGCCCGCGTTAGCACGCGACGGCCGTGGGGCGGCGCCGGCGGGGACCGCACCCGGCGCGAGCGGAGGCGGCGGTGACGGCGCGCCCCCGCCTTCAGGGGGCCGCAGCGGCGGCGCCGCCGCCTCCATCCCTCCCTCCTTCCCTCGGTGCTTCCCCGGGAGAACGCGAGCCCCCGTCCCGCAAGACAGCGCGCCCCGGCTCGTGGGAAGCTGAGTGCAGGACGTATCCCTCCTCCTGCAGCGGTTTAGCAGGGCGAGCCTCACGGCACCACGAGCACCCCAAACTTCAGGCAGCCCCGGGAACCTGGCAGGAGGGCCAGCATCCTGCGGTACGTCGGCGAGCCTGGCAGAGTATGGAAGGTGGCTTAGCTCAGCCCTCATCTGGCACAGTTTTCTTCTCTGCGTCTGGGCAAGCGGGGCTCAACACCAACCCCATGGCAGTGCTCTGGATTGGTCAAGGAAAGTATATTTTTTAAATCAGGTGCTTTGAGAATAAGCTCGTTGAAACAATTCTGAACATTCAGGGATTACACATATAAACGGGGCATGGCTGAAGGCATGCACCTGTGGGAACCCCGCTATTCCTCCCCTGTCTGTCAGGATATTTACTTGCATATCCTCTATGGAGGGACAGGTGACCAGAATGCCATGGTGTCAGGCTCACATAAAGCTTCAGCCCTCAGCAGCCCGGCTGTGCGGTAGCTGCAGCTTCTGTAAGGACACCCTCAGTTACAGCTGAGCCACCGCTCACAGGATGCAGAAGAATGGAAGGAATCAAAAAAGCAATCCAGTCTAAGGGCAGTTATTACAACTCAAGTTGTAAACATGTGTATTAACTGACTGGATTAGGAATCCCGTAAGTACATTTGAATCTCAGCTACTGTCATCAGTCCTAACGCTTTTTCCATCCTTTTTACAATCTCCCTGCTATCCCATTTTCATCTCTTTGGATGTTTCTATCCTCCTGCCCTTCCTTCTACCTCAGTCTCACCAGTCTTCATGCACCCTTCTGACAGACATTTGTGTAACCCTCAGAGCAACACACAGAAGAGCTCCATTAAAGTCATAACTTGGTGGTAAGCCAACCAAGCCACCTTCACATTGTTTTATCACTATAAACCTCTCTATTAAGCATGCCACAATTAGTTTGCTGGGTTACGAAATGAGGAGCGCATCCAGCATTCCCAACACTGCAGCTGTGCACCTCCTACCATGAGAGAAGATGGAATGCACAAATTGCACCTTCTGTGCAAGACCAAAGCATGTCCAGCAAGTGGAATGGAATGGCTACCGTTGTGCAGATCTAGCTCCAAAGCAGAAGTTAACTCTCTACAGTTATTTTGATGAAACATTTGCATACCATGTATTAGATCTAGCAGTCATCAACCAAGCCATTTATTCCAATAAGAGAAGCTGCATTGAGCTGAGTAGCAGATAGGGCCACATGCATGGCCCAGCAGCACGTGTTCCAGCAACAAGTTGTAACAGACTGTTGATACTGCCAGGAACTTTGCCAGCATTTGACCTGACTCGTGCAGTGATCCTTGCCTGGAACAGAAGTGGAACCTCTAGTTAATCAACACAGCAAATTCACCTGTAAAAGCAAGCAGCTCTACTGCCTCCCACCAGCACAAATAACCAGGTTCTGAGCAGTTTATAGCCGTCAATGGACAGGAGCACGGCTGCCCATTTTGACCAGTGAAAATGGCAGCTTTAAGGCCTCATTGCGCTAGATACCAACTGGTTGCGTAGAAATGGTCTTCACCACCTGAGTACTGTCCTTTGCAGTCACGTTTAGTAACTGGTAAGGTCACACTTGAAACTCTGAAGTTCACTACTAAGTAGCACCCTCATCCACCATATGCCTCTTTTAGACTTATTTCCTGTTTTGTAGTATCTTGAAAGCATGAATTACAGTCTTCAAAATTGTATTTCCCAACAGTATCAAGTAAACTGCACTCATTCTCCAGTAACCCCTGCCAGCATGGCTACATGTTACAAGTAACAAAGATACAGAACTTTCACCAACCAGCATACCGCAGAGATTGCCAGTAGAGCTGTAGTGAAAACCTGAGCTTTTCAGCCACTTCTATTCATAACCTATCTCAAAAAAAGGTACTGCAACAGACCAACAGAGAGAGAGTGTCCGCGCTTTGCTAAGGATCCCTATCTGGGAGATCGACAATCTTACACAGAACGTGTAACAGTTGCAAACCTGCATAATATATAAAAGAGGTGCAGACTGCATTTATTTTATGCAGCAATTATCTCTTCAGTTTGAACATAAAGATCACAAGCAGAGATGCAATACGAGACTTCTGTCATATGGTATACTTTCATACACAGTACATGAAAGGCACTGCTGCTGGAGCATTACTCAAGCATGAAGAAGGCTTTCAGCTCTCAAATTCACTATCTAGAAGTGACAGTAGCTGAAACTGGCTAAAACAACAGCCACCCAAACCAACCATGACAGTGTAATACACTCACAGTGAAAGGAAACAGCAGTCTTAGCCCACAAGTTTGTTAGCACTAAGACCATGCAGCCCTGACAATTGTATGAAGTCCCAAGGTATGGCCATAAAAAAGATTTATAAAGAGAGATCTTTATATCTAGTATCTAATATCTAGTCACACTATAAGTAGTAAGAAGCCTCGCACAATATGTATGCTGGAAGGGTTAAAACACAAAGAAACACTTTTTCAGCCAACGTTCTGCCACTTGAGAGAATGATTAACACAGTATCAGGCCACAAGAAAGTCTGTTAATTCTCAAACTCCAAGTGGACTGAACTGCCTATACTAAGACACCTAGTCCCACTTCCTGTACCTTTATATGCCCTGCTGGCCTTCAACTGCTTCTCGAGAAGAGTTTGGGCCTGCCAGAGCTGAATACTTGCTGTACACACATTGCAGTACCTACAACAGCTTTGGCCCCCATGTTTAGGCAACAGATTCCAGTATTTTACACCATTTTATTTATAAAAGAAGTAGCATAAAATGTTCCTTTAGCTATAGTGAGAAAGTATAATTTAATGTCAAGAAGATTACAGGTATGATGGTAGAATTTAGCTTAAGTGTATGATTTAAAAAAGCAAACATTGAGAAACCGACTGTTACATAGTACTAAAAAATAAATAAAAAGCAAAAAACAGCAAGAAGTCTGCTTCTCCAGAGTCAGGTTTTCTTGAAGAAAACATACCACACAGAACTCACAACTCCCAAAACAAATATGTATGACAGCTTTTAAGACATCAGATTTCAGATCAGAACATTACTTTACACTAAAACCAAATGTACTTCTTAATACCCAGAGCCCTGAAGATTCCAGGGCGTTTGTTCAGTTGACAACTGATGTCATCTACTTGGATTTGTGCAAGGCCTCTGACACGGCCCCACACCACATTCTTGCCGCTAGATTAGAGAGATGTGGATTTGAAAGGTGGACAATTCAGTGGATAAGGAATTGGTTGGAAGGTCTCAGTCAGAGGGTTGTGGTCAATGGCTCTGTGTCCAGGGGGAGATCCAGTACTCTTTAATATCTTGATCAATAACACAGGTGATGGGATTGAGTGCACACTCAGCAAGTTCACCGATGACACCAAGCTGAGCAGTGTGATTGATACATACAGAAGAAGGAAAGGATGCAATTCAGAGGGACCTTGATAAATTTGAGATGTAGGCCCTTATGAACCTAGTGAGATTCAACAACGCAAAGTGCATCCTTTTTGCACTTGGGTCAAGGTAATCTCAGACACGCTTAAGAACTCCTTGAGTAGCACTGCTGAGAAGGACTCAGCAGTCCAGACTGATGAAAAACTCAATACAAGCCAGCAGTGTGCACCTGCAGACTGGAAGGCATGAAGACAGGTCGAAGGAACTGGGCTCGTTCAGCCTCGAAAAGGCTGTGGGAAGACCTCTTTGTGACCTTACAGTACTTAAAGGGAGCCTATAAACATGAGGGAAATCAGCTTTTTTACATGGGTACATTGTGAAAGGACAAGGGGGAAATGGGTATAAACTAAAGGAAGAGAGATTCAGATTAGATGTTTTTTATTGAGAGAGTGGTGAAGTGTTGGAGTGGGATGCCCAGAGTGGTGGCGGATGCCCTGACTCTGGAGGTTTTCAAGGCCAGGTTGGATGGGGCCCTGGGCAATCTGATCTAGTAGTACTTGATCTAGCAGCTGGCAACCCGTCCTTGAGGCAGGGAGGTTGGAACCTGCTGATCCGTGAGGTCAATTCCAACCCAAGCCATTCTACAATTCCGTAAGTGCTTCATAAACCATCAGCTGTGTCCCTGCAGAAGCCCTAGTTTCTATTCTGCATGCAAACATTTTGGAAAGGATGGAAATGCCCACTCCAGCTCTCCTCCAGCAGTACTCTGCCATGCACATCACAACTTTCTGTCCCCCATTAACTCAGTGCTTTAACAGCATTAATGATACAATGCAAAGTGAATAATATTCACTCCTTCTCTTCTAAAGAATTATAACTTTTCAGTATATAAAGAGATGTTCCCAAATACTGAAGGCAACAGAATGGAAACACACAACCCATTTATATGGGCCACTGAACCACTGATGAGGGGACTGGATGAAAAGTCAGTGTTCACTGCAAGCTACCATGGTGTTTTA